AGTCCACATCTCCATTGGTGTCTTCAGCTCTATTGCAGTTGATGGAGCTCGATTCACCAAATAACAGGTGGTATTGACTGCTTCTGCCCATAATAATTTTTTTAGGCCTGCATCCCTCAACATTGCTCCTGTTCTTTCTAACAAGGTTCTATTCATCCGCTCTGCCACTCCACTTTGTTGAGGAGTGTTCGCCACTGTGAACTGTCTTTTGATGCCTTCTTTCCTGTAAAAGTCATCAAATTCTTCGCTTGTGTATTCTCCTCCATTATCTGTTCTGAAACACTTGATCTTATTTCTAGAATCAAGTTCCACCCACGCTTTGAAGTTTTTGAAAGTGGAAAACACATCTGACTTCTTCTTAATAGGGTACACCCAACATCTCCTGGAGTAGTCATCAATAAATGAGACAAAGTATTTTTCTCCTCCTAGGGATGTAATTGGTTCTTGCCATACGTCCGAGTGAACCAATTCTAGAACACTTTTGCCTCTAGAATTTGATGTGTTGAATTTCAACCGGTGCTGCTTACTTGTTATGCAATACTCACACAAAGGAAGTGATACCTTTGTTAAGCCTGGAAGTAGTTTTTCCTCCACAAGGACTTTCATTCCTTATTCTGACATGTGTCCAAATTTCTGATGCCATAAAATTGCCGAATCTGAACTACATGAGGCAACAGAGGCTTCTGCTTATACCAAAGTATCTCCCTTCAGCATGTACAAGTTTTCAGCTATCTTTTCACCTTTCAGCACCACAAGCGCTCCACAGAACACCTTCATGATTCCTTTTCGTGTTTCAATCTTGCTTGCATTATTATCCAACAATCCATAGGATAATAAATTTTTCTTCAGGTCTTTCACGTGTCGCACATCTCGATCAACTTTAATTGTTCCATCATAGATCTTCAATTTGATGGTTCCCACGCCAATGATCTCTAAGGAATGATCATTGTAACTATACACAGATCCTCCTAAGACAGGTTCATAATGATGGAACCATTCTCTTCTTGATGTCATGTGATATGTTGCTCCCGAATCAATGAGCCATATGTCTGCATATCTCTTTCTACCTTCCACTGTGGTTGACGCTTCACAATATAGAGCATCTCCATCATCTGAAGTGTTTACGGTATTGCCTTGTGGATTGGAGTTTTTATTTAGACTCCAATAATCCTTCTTCAAATGACCCTTCTTTCCACAATTGTAACACTTTAAATTCTTTTTGCTCCTCGACTTCGATCTACCATATTTGTGACTGCTGCTTTGGCCACGTTCTGTTGATCTCCCTCTCATCTTTATCATCGTTGTCAATGCTTCTGCATTTTGCAGATTTACTTGTCTGTCTTCCTTGTTCTTGCGCCGATTTTCTTCTTGTAGAACAGCAGCTGTAACGTCATCGAAGACTAGACTGGTGACATTACTATTTGTCAAGTTGATGATGAGTTGATCATACGAATCCGGTAGACTTTGAAGTAGAAGTTCAGCACGTTCTTGTTCTCCTATTTTATAGCTTAAGGATGTAAGTTGAGAAAATAAAGTGTTCAGCGTGTTTAAGTGCTCCTTCACTGAAGTAGATTCTGGCATCCGAAGAGTGTACAATTTCCTCTTAAGGAAAATTTTATTGTGCAACGATGTGGCCTCATACAATTTAGTGAGATGATCTCATATCTCCTTAGATGTCTTCTTCTCCTCTATGCTTGACAATACTTCATCTGCTAATGCTAGATGAAAGTTTGCCATAGCATTTCCGTCCATCTCGTTCCATTTGTTGTCATCTGCGAAATCCACCGGCCTTTCATTGATAGCCGCTAGACACCCGTCTTTCCTCAGGATGGCATTCATCTTCAATTTCTACAGTGAGAAATTTCTCCCATTGAATTTTTCAATATCAAATTTTGTTGCCATAACTTCTATTATTGATAGCTCCCACTATTTCACTATCGTGAATAGTTCTCTAGAACCTCAAAGAATGGGTAATACCTTCTTATTTTCTTATGTTGGAGGATCCACCTTTTGGTGGCAACCACAAAGACAATAAGCAGATATTACACACTCAAATCTGGCTCTGATACCAATTATTGCGGAAGACGGCTATCGGATAGAGCAAAATCGCAACTGATAATTTGAGAAAATAAAAATGAAGATAAAAAGAGACACAAAATTTACGTGGAAAACCCCTAAATAATATAGGGTAAAAACCACAGGCAACGGTAGAAGAATTTCACTATGAGAAAAATAGGAATTACAACCTCTCTCGATCTACCAAGGAGAAAACAATGATAATTCTCTCTTGATAAAAAGGAGAAAACAACTCTCAAGAAACTCTCTAAATTCTCTCTAGTATTGGAAGAAAGCTAGAATGCTTTGGAATGATTTTGAAGCTAAATGAGCTAGGGTATTTATAGTTGAAGCTTTAAGGACTAATTTGTAAATACCCTAAAGTTTAGTGACTAAAGTTTGTAATTTCCCCTTTCATTTTTTTCAACAAATTGCTACACCTTTTTGACTTTGCATCATTCGGTGTATTTGTTTATTTATTTTTTCTTTCAAATTTCAACTTGCACCTTTCGGTTTTTTGACTTTTCTACAGGAATAAGGATGAGCATCTGGTGAGTCGCCATTCGGAGATTAAGGTTTAGTTATTTGTATCCGCATTTTTTTAATAAATTATGCGGATTCTTGCGTTTTCTTGCATGCACAGTCGGAAGAGGATTTGGCATTGAAGCCAGGGTTTCAAATCGCGGTCGCGGTCATGTTTTCGGTTATTTCAGATTTATCGTGATTGCGGCCATCACGGGTGCTATTACGGTCGTCGCAGATGCTATTGCGGCCGTCGCGGGTAACTCGGACGGCGGCGAAATCGCTATATCGTGGACGAAATCGCGGTCGCGGATCGTTTTTTGAAACCCTGAAATTTGAAACAACGGCTAGAGTTATATGTAGAAGGAATTCAGAACCCTGATCCTAAACTCCATAAAGCAACTCTTCAGAGCATGAGGTAATCAATTATTTGCGAATTTCAGAGTTAAATGTAGAGGAAAATTGGAGTTTATTCTACAGTTGATCAGTTTTTATTTTATGTTTGTGAGTTTCATTAATATTATATCAAGTTGATGTGTCATGTCATAAGTGAAATTGCAGTTGTCAATGTATCAAACTGTGGAGTGTGTGTGAATTTTACTGTTAGTGGGAGCAGTTGCAATGCCAAAATACAGCATCATTTGTTTACAGTTCGACTTGATATCATTTTTAGGCAAGCAATCATCCCCTCAGCAAGCTCCATGACTTCTGTTCCGAAGCCATTGAAGTTTCTCCGTCATCATTATAGAAGCCTAAAGGTTTTTTTTGAGACAGTGCCCGATTCAGATTTTAAGGTATTACTTGTTTTGCTATAATGATTGCATTCGTATTTTATAAGTATAATTTGGGCTGAGCAATGCAGGGAAGGATGAATATGATGGAGGCGTCATTTAATATTGGGACTTCCCAATATATATCTCATGGGTAGAATTATTATTTTCTGTATAAAATTTAGGTAGGTTTGTTTGTTCATTGGTTTAAGTTTATAAAATCTTGAATTTTTTCAGGTTAGAATTAGGTGTATTCTTACGAATTGAGAATTTCTCTTGGTTTAACGAATTTCATTTCCTTCCTATATTCTTTTTCTCCATATTGACAACTTTCGTTTTGATGTCAAAATAAATTATTTCTTCTCAATTAATAAATAAAGAAAATACGTAGTAAAGAGAAGCAAGGGTTGATCCTCATGGATTTAGAAAATTTCAAATTTTTGTTTGAATTGCTTAAACTAGGCAATAAGTAGTAAAAAGGGTTTTGGTAAAAAAGATTAAATAATAAAAAGTGATTTAAAGAAAAATAAAGAAAATAAAAATTGAAGTTTGAAAATGAATATGGTAAAAACAACCTCAAACCTCGCTTTGACTCAATTTCCTTCGGATCATCGATCGGGATTCATGTCGGTTACTTTGTCTACAAGGACAATCCTTGTGACTCTATTTTGTATATCGAATACAAAAAACAATCTTTGATTCTGGCTTCAGAAATTGATCTGATCAACATCAATTGTCGTAGATCAATAAACGTTTAAGTTCGTGAAGACCGACTCGGATTGTTGTTTCAATAACTACTAATTCTGATCTCAATTTCCTCTTGGCAAGGCAATCTCGCCAAGTGTGTTCCCTGGAAGTCGAATGTTCTTTCAATAAGTCGATCATTCCTCCCACACATTTAATCGCAACAACATCTTGACCAAAGTCAATCTTTGATTTTGAAAACTGTTTTGATTTTGAAAATAAGCGCAGAGATTGAGAGAGATATTTCGAAGTTATTCAAGTGTTTTCAATTCTCACGTTGGAATCGATTCATCGCTTCAGCTCTTGGCTTATGATAAAATTAGCTAAGCATGACAAACGTCATACTTAGCATGTTTAAAAATAAAACTTAAAATAAAAAAGAAAATGAAAAATTGAAAAGAAAAGAAAAGAAAAAATAACTTTATAAAACTATAAAGAAGAAGAAGAGTAAATTTTGAGTTGTGAATTTAGGCTTACCCCAAGAGGGTATTTATAACCTCTAAAACCCTAGAGATAAACATAGAAATTAAAGTAAAAATAATCCTAAAGATAATTCCAAATGTTTTCTAAATTCAAACTTTAAAATTTAAAAATAAGTCTCCTAAATATTTTGTCTGTCCACCTTCCATAAGGCATTGACTAGATCTTATAAAAAACTACTACTGACTGGACCTTCTAGAAATTGCCATGTCATACCATGTCATGCCCAGATTCGTGCACATGTCTCCAACCGTGACTAAATAATAAAAAATGCAAAATGTGCCCGTTTTACTACTAATTATGGAAAGTAAGACCATGTACGAAAATAAGCATAACACATCCAAATCAGCAACAATAAATCCATAAGATTGAAGAATTAACGAGCAAATATTATCGATTTAGAAAACTCATCAAATTCCCCCTCACTTATCTCATGCTTGTCCTGAAGTATGATATAATCAAATCAGCCAAAATTTACATTTACCTTTCTTTGTCAAGTCTCACATTCAAGGAAGCAAGGTAGAGACCACAATAATTATTCAAGTCGAGACACCAATCAATTGAACATCACCAATTGGGACAAGTTAAATGCAATTGTAATATCCATTCATTCATCAATCTCAATGCTCATAACTCAACACCTTACCGGGATTCACTCAATGTGTTTGGGGGTATAGAAACACTCAATATCAGAACCGACACGACATTACCATAAACATGCAAGTAAATCAAATCTCCACTACTAATAAGAACAAGATGCATAAATCAAAGGGTCTTTTATTAGTTGTAACGGAGCTTAGGTAAAGGTGGAGGAAAATGCTAATAATTGTTAGAGTATGCCCAAAGACCAATCATATGATGATTGTAATAATACTTTTATTTACCGATTTTATTGAATAAAGGCATTGCTACTATTATTTTCATTTATATATATGTGTTTAACATAAACTGAAAGATAATAAAGTCCATATAATGACATAATTGTTATTATTAAAAGATCCCTTGTCAAGTATTATTATGGGCATATACAATAATAATACGCTTGAGACTAACATGTTATTGATTGATGACAATGAGTTGTTATTGACATAGAGATGTCAGAATTGATATATGATTATATTGTTCGAGAACAATGTATTGGATTGACCGACCATGAGCATATGTCTTGGATTATTATGTGACAGTCATAACATTGCTCATGGTGATGATTATATGTATGAACCTCAGACTTGAGATCAATACTATCCCAACATATCTTGTTGTATGTTTTGATGCAGCTAAACAAGCTCCGTAACTGGTTGCTCTATAAAGACTGCTATTGAATATATTTCAATATATGCAGTAGGTGTGTATGATTAAGATAGGATTTGTCCTTCCTACATAATAGGAAATATATCACAGGCCACTTGATTGAGTAAGACTAGAAACGCATGGCCATGCTCGAATAATTTGATATGAGATATCATAAATTATTCGTTAATTAAAGTCTACTCTAGGTATCAAGAAACAATAGATGGGCTATACAAGTGTGAATATTCCAAGACTTGTGCCTATTCTAGATATAAAGGACATAAGGATGTAATACATAAAAGAGTAATCACCAAGATGATATGTCGAATCATATTTTCTTGTAACTTAGGTGACAATGATATATTGCTAGATGTCACTCATTGTATGTAATATTAGAATTGTTCTAATAATTACTGCTAATGTTACAAGAACCTACAAGGTCACACCCTATGATTGAAACGAGCAAAGATGTACAATTGTTGTACGTTACTAAAATATATATCTAGAGTTAATTAAATATATGTTTTAATAATCCTGAATATTTAATTTCAATAATTAAATATAGATTTAATTAATTTAAAATAATAAAATCCCTAATATGATTAGGGTAACTTGGATATAAGAGGATTATTAAATTCCAATTAATTAAATATAGATTTAATTAATTTGAAATAATAAAACCCTAATATGATTAGGGTAACTTAGCTATAAAAGGATGTGTTAGGTCTAGCAACCATTGTACAACACACACTCAAAACATTCAGCCGTTTTCTCTCAAAAGAGTTTTGGGGAAAACAAAGATTGCTCTCAATCGGGTGAACTGAGTAGAGGCCGAGACGTAATTTCGTGGAGGCTTAAGATTCGAACCGATCTACACAACCAGTATTCATTGTTGTCCTTGTTGTTTTTCAAGGAACCCACTGTAAGTATTCACATTTATTCCTCCCGATTTCAGTTTTTCGTACTTGGATCGCTGGTGAGACCGTCGAGTTTTGTTTTCGCTGTGCCATGGGGTGCGCCGACGGTCCCAACAGTGGTATCAGAGCCACTTGTACGATCTGATTTTGGGTTAAATTTTTGGTTGATACGATATATATGAGATGCATGTTCTAGTTTTATCGATTTCGATAAATATGATGATATCATTGTTCGAATCGATACCCACAATGATTAATATGTTAATTTGTTAATATGTTTTTCAATCGATTTGTTGCTGGATGATCTATGGGAGTGCGATAGCAGATCGCGTTTAGCAGTGGAACAATGGTTGTTCTGATACAGAAAACCTTCGGGATTGAAAATCCCAAAAGAACGATTCTGTTGATAATTGTTATCAAATCGTGAAGTTTTTCCATGGAAACAGAAGTACTGTTTTTCAAAAAAATAAATTAACAAAGGCGTAACAACGTGTGTGTATATATATATATGTTATGTTTGTTTTGCACGGTGTTTGATATGAATGGTTATATCCCTTGTTCAATTCACAATGGTTTATTTTGAAATACGGTCTGCGAGCTTTGCCTTTCTATATCTCTATTGTATTTCTCTTCTCATCTTACTCCCTTGTAAGTAAAACGAGTTTCTTTTAAAATTGTAAATCTATGAAGATTCACAAGGAGCAGAAGAATGGCGAGAACATGCCTAGAGAGCATTCTTAGGCTTTAGGTTTCTTGGTTCTCCCATTGGCTTGGGATAGGCCACCTTAGTCATTGGCTTGGGCTATAACCATTGCATCTTATTTATTGCTATATTTGTTATGTATGCAATGCATCAAATGATATAATAAGAATAAATATTGATGAGATCAAGATCAATAAGAGCCTAATATTAAAACGAACAATGATGAGATAATTACGCAAATCCCTCTTTATAATCTAAGTTAACTTAACCGTCCAATATTTACCCTCGTTAAGGCTTTGATCGATATTGTGCGGGCTTTGCCAAAACATTGGCACAAAAATCTATCTTGGTTAAACGCGAAGAATAAACAAGTGATATTCATCGGTTGAAATATTGGTAATAACTTAGCTAGGTTATTCTAATAGGATTAGAAACCTAGAGTTTAAATATTTGGATAAGTCATGAGATGACTTGAACAAAAGTTGTTCACCAAAAATGAGGAGTTACATTAGATGTAACTAGTCAAGTGTTACTTACCTAAATAATCATTATCCTAAAAGCCAAAGCTGATTTAGGAAATTGATGTATTATGGATTCTCACCCACTAGAAAAATTTCGTTGAATTTTTTCGAAATTAAAACAAAGAGGGTTTTTAATTTTGAATAAAATAGTGGGAGTAATTTGTAAATAAAGTCCTATTTATAAATTTTAAATTCGGTAAATTTACTTACTTTAATATTTTCATTGTTGTAGATTTAATGACAAACAACACTTTATCACTGCGATCACTCCTTGAGAAGGATAAACTTAATGGCATAAACTTCCTTGACTGGTTTCGTAATTTGAGAATTATTCTCAAACAGGAAAGAAAGGAATATGTGATTGAGGAACTTGTTCCTGATGAACCGGGAGCTAATGATTCAAAAGTTGACAAAGACAAATTCAAGAAACATATGGATGATATGTTAGATGTTGGATGTCTAATGCTTGCCACCATGACTCCTAAGCTTCAGAAGCAACATGAGGCCATGGTTGCATATGAGATGATTCAAAATCTCAAAGAAATATATGAAGGGCAAGCACGTCAAGAGAGATATGAGACCTCTAAAGCTATATTTCAATGCAAAATGGAAGAGGGAACTCCTGTAGGAGCTCATGTCATCAAGATGATGGGCTACTTCCAAATGTTGGAAAAGCTGGGATTTTCTCTCAAAGATGAATTGGCTACCGATGTTATCCTGCAATCGTTGCCAGATAGCTTTAGCTAATTTGTCCTTAATTTCAACATGAATGAAATTAACAAAACTTTGCCACAGTTACTTGGCATATTACGAACTACTGAAAGTAACATGAAAAAGGTTGGACCTAAGCCATTCTGATGGTCCACAAGGACAAAGGAAAGGGAAAGAAAAAAGTAGTGGCAAAGTCTAAGGGAAATGGTAGGACCAAACCAAAAGGGAAAAATGCATTGAAACCCAAAGGGGGAGTTAGCAAAGAAGGAAAATGTTTCCATTGCGATAAGACCGGACACTGGAAGAGAAACTGCCATGTTTACCTTGAAGAGGTTAATAAGGCAAAAGAAAACGGAACGTTTGTTTCAGGTATTTATGTTATTGATGTTAATTTTTCAACATCTACTTCTTGGGTATTAGATACCGGTTGTGGTTCTCATATTTGTACTTCTGTACAGGGACTGCAAAAGAGAAGGAATCTGGCTAAAGGAGACGTGGACCTACAAGTGGGAAATGGAGCAAGAGTTGCTGCATTATCTATAGGGACATATGTTTTATCTTTGCCTAGTGGACTTGATTTAAATTTAGATGATTGTTATTATGTGCCTAGTTTGACTAAGAACATTATTTCTATTTCTTGTTTGGACAAGATTGGCTTTGAGATTATTATTAAGAATAATTGTTCTTCTTTTTATCTCGATAGTGTTTTTTATGGTTCGGCATAACTGGTTAATGGTCTCTATATTTTGGATCAAGATAACACCATTTATAACATAAATACTAAGAGATAAAAAACAAATGACTCGAATCAAACTTATCTTTGGCATTGTCGTTTAGGCCATATAAGTAAGAAACGCATATCAAAACTCCATAAAGATGGATTCTTAGATTCATTTGTTTTCGAACAATATGATGTATATGAATCTTGCTTGTTGGAAAAAATGACTAAAGCTCCTTTTAATAGTACAGGTGAGCGAGCAAGTGATTTATTGGGGTTAATACATAGTGATATATGTGGACCAATGATACACAAGCCAGAGGTGGATTCTATTACTTCATTACTTTTACCGATGACTTCATTCGGTATGGGTATATTTATCTTATACGCCATAACTCTGAAGCCCTTGAAAAGTTTAAGGAATTTAAAAATGAAGTACAAAATAAACTAGGATTGTCTCACAGCTTACACCGCCTGGTACACCACAGTGGAATGGAGTTTCTAAAAGAATGAATCAAACACTGTTAGACATGGTTCGATCGATGATGAGTCATAATGATCTTCCAACTTCTTTTTGGGGACATGCACTTGAAACAACCACTTTCGCACTAAATCGTGTTCCATCTAAATCGGTTCAAAAGACACCATACGAGATATGGAATGGGAAACGTCCCAGTATGTCTTTTATAAAGATTTAGGGTTGTGAAGCTTATGTAAAACATCAGATGTCTACAAAGCTCAAACCTAAATCTCATAAGCATATATTTGTTGGATATCCTAAAGAAACTAAGGGATATTATTTCTTTAACCCTAACGAGAACAAAGTGTTTGTTGCTCGAACATGTGTTTTTCTCGAAAGAGAATTCCTCTCAAAGAAAGGGAATGGTAGAAATATTGAACTTGGACAAGTTCAAGAACAACAAATAAATGAACCTGAAATTGAGCATGTTTCACAAGTTGTTGAGGAGCATTCAACAGATTTAGAAACACAATCACTGCGTAGATCCACAAGAGAACATCGTGCACCTGAGAGATTTGGATTTCTCGTTACGACACATGGAGATGTTCTTCTTATAGATCAAGATGAGCCCATGACTTATCAAGAGGCAGTTTCTAGCCCAGACTCTTAGAAATGGCTTGAAGCCATGAGATCTGAGATGGATTCCATGTCAGTAAACCAAGTATGGACTTTGGTTGAACCACCTGAAGGGGTCAAACCTATAGGGTGTAAATGGGTTTTCAAGAAGAAAACCGACATAGATGGTAATGTACAAACAAACAAGGGGAGATTAGTCGCTAAAGGTTTTCGACAAATTCATGGTGTAGACTTTGGCGAAACATTCTCCCCTGTAGCTATGTTTAAGTCCATCCGGATCCTGCTCGCAATAGATGCATTCCATGATTATGAAATCTGGCAAATGGACGTCAAAACCGCATTCCTTAATGGAAAACTTGAAGAGGATGTGTATATGACACAACTAGAAGGTTTTGTCTTTCCAAGAAATACTGGAAAAGTTTGTAAGCTACAGAGGTCTATTTATGGACTAAAGCAAGCTTCTTGAAGCTGGAATCTTCGTTTCAATGATGCAATCAAAGAGTTTGGTTTTATCAGAAATGAAGATGAGCCTTGTGTTTATAAGAAGGCTAGTGGGAGCATTGTTTCTTTTCTAATCTTGTATGTAGACGACATACTCATCATAGAAAATGATATATATACTTTACAGTCTGTTAAGACTTGGTTAAGTAGCTGTTTTTCAATGAAATATTTGGGTGAGGCAGCGTATATCTTAGGAGTTAAGATCTATAGAGATAGACCAAGACGACTTATAGGTCTGAGTCAAAGTACATATATAGACAAAGTGCTGAAAAGGTTCAGTATGGAAGAATACAAGAAAGGATTTTTGCCTATTAGATATGGCATTTCTCTTTCTAAGGAAATGTGTCCTTCAACTCCACTAGAAATAGAACAGATGAATAAGATTTCATATGCTTCGGCTATTAGTTCTATAATGTATGTCATGATATGTACTCGACCAGATGTATCGTATGCTCTAAGCATGACAAGTCGGTATCAAGCAAACCCTGGTGAAAATCACTGGGTTGCGGTTAAAAATATCCTTAAGTACTTAAGAAGAACTAAGGATAAATTTCTTGTCTATGGAGGAGAGGAAGAGCTTAGTATAAAAGGTTATACTGATGCCAGCTTCCAAACTGACAAGGATAACTCACGATCGCAATCGGGTTGTGTTTTGTCTTAATGGAGGTACTCTGAGATTGAAAAGTTTGAAGCAAGACACAGTAGCTTATTCTACAATAGAGGCTGAATACATTACAGCCAGTGAAGCAGCAAAAGAGGTTGTTTGGATCAAGAAGTTCATATCGGAATTAGGGGTTGTTCCCAGCATATCAGATGCTGTAGAACTCCGTTGTGACAATAATGGTGTCATTGCACAAGCAAAGGAACCAAGATCTCATCAATGATCCAAACATATTCTTAGGCGCTTTCATCTCATTCGAGTGATCATTGATCAAGGATATGTGGAAATATGTAGAGTACACACGGATGACAACATTGCTGATCCCTTGATGAAGCCCCTTACACAGCAGAGGCATGATCGTCACACTGAGTCACTCGGTATTAGATATGTGAGTGATTGGACTTAGTGCTAGTGGGAGATTGTTAGAGTATGCCCAAACACCAATCATATTATAATTGTAATAATACTTTTATTTACCGATTTTATTGAATAAAGGCATTGCCACTATTATTTTCATTTATATATATGTGTTTAACATAAACTAAAAGATAATAAAGTCCATATAAAGACATAATTGTTATTATTAAAAGATCCCTAGTCAAGTATTATTATGGGCACGAACAATAATAATAGGCTTTAGACTAACATGTTATTGATTGATGACAATGAGTTGTTATTGACATAGATATGTCAGAATTGATACATGATTATATTGTTAGAGAACAATGTATTAGATTTGGATTGACCGACCATGAGCATATGTCTTGGATTATTATGTGACAGTCATTACATTGCTCATGGTGATGACTATATGTATGAACCTCAGACTTGAGATCAATACTATCCCAACATATCTTGTTGTATGTTTTGATGCAGCTAAACAAGCTCCGTAACTGGTTGCTCTATAAAGACTGCTATTGAATATATTTCAATATATGCAGTAGGTGTGTATGATTAAGATAGGATTTGTCCTTCCTACATAATAGGAAATATATCACAGGCCACTTGATTGAGTAAGACTAGAAATGCATGGCCATGCTCGAATAAGTTGATATGAGATATCATAAACTATTCGTTAATTAAAGTCTACTCTAGATATCAAGAAACAATAGATGGGCTACACAAGTGTGACTATTCCAAGATTTGTGCCTATTCTAGATATAAAG